AGCCGGGCTGGAGGGAAGAGAAGTGGCTGTCCGGCCAGCTGGCCATGGCGCTCAGCCAGGGTGCACCAAGCTCCACGTGGGCAGGCGCAGAGGAGAAGCCGCCGATCAGCTGAAGCGCGGGGCAGCCTCTTTCAGCTGAAAGCCACAGTCAGCTGGCTGGGGTGTTTCAGCCCTCCCGACCTCCCAGCTCTCACCATTCCTCGCAGCTGTGTTGTTGCTCAGTGAGTAGCTGCTCCTCAAATGAGGAAATCTAATGTAAATGTACTGCACAGGCGCGCAGTTCAGAGAGGGCTCAAGAGCTACTCTTAGAGCCCCTGAGATCTACCGGTAGATCACGATCTACTGGTTGGTGACCATGGTATTAGAGAATGCAAGGTCAAAGAAATGCACCTTGCCCTTTGAGCAGGTGATGAGGTTTGTGATGGCCCTCAGAGTTCATTCCATGGACTGATCCCTAGAAAAGCTGTCTATTGCACAGACAAACCCTGAAGAAAGTGTGTGGTACTATATACTTTTGTTAGTCTGAGGTGCCACAGGACAACTTGTCATTTTTACCTTAGTTGTAGAAATTCCACTGTTGAACACTGGTGTTTGAATCATCCTGAACCTTTAGAGAGTCCTTTTGACATCTTGGCATATCTTGGAGCATATTGAAGATCTGAGACCTTAAACTTGATGTTCTGTGAAAAGCCAGGGTAGAGAGCTGGAGACAGGTGTGATGTGCTCACAGCTGCCTGTGTTGCTGAGATGATGCACTGTAATGTTCTATACTAGTGGGAGTTTCATAAGAGCTGGAGCTTCATGTCCAGATACATCACATCATTGTAGCCCAGCTGAGAGGTGACAAAATCGTGAACAGTCAAGGTTAGGCCATTGTGTGCCAGGATGGGATTAGTCTCCTGGCCCAGTGAAGATTGTGGAAACCATTACATGCTCTTCATGGGCAGAACTGGGAACAGATCCCAGGTCTCCTAGCTCCCAGGCACAGTATTTCTTCATGTAAGGTCTGTCCTTTTTTAAAAAAAAGGCTACCCTGCTCTAAAGCCTCCAGAGCTCAGCAATGCTGCTCCTGGGCTTGCAGGAAGGGAAAAACGGGGTGAGGCCACCCGCTCCCCATCCGCCTGATCCCCCTTCCATCCTCTGGCGCTTGTGACAGGAAACCAACCAGCGCATGGGCCCTCAGGCTGCTACAGACAAGGGTTCCTAGAAAGGGGGACTGCTGGGCTGGGCACCAACGGGAGAGAGGCAGCAGCCCGTGCACAGAGCGGGCGGGCGTGGAGGGGCTCTGGGCAGCCCAGTCCCTTCAGCCTCAAGGATCTAGTCAGCGCCAAATAGAGACCCGTAGGGAACAGCGAGCTAAGGCCGGGGATATATCTCACGCTCACGAACCACTTGGCGGCAGGAGGGACCCGGCTAGGCGCGCGCGCGCGCCCCGCGGGAGGAGAGGCCGCGCGCGCGCGCGCCTGGGAAAATGTTGCGCAGATTCTAAAATGGAACGTTGGCGGCGGCGAGATTGAGCGCGAGGGGGTGTGTGAGCGTGAGTAAGAACCGGGACCAGCCGCCGCCACCGCCACCGCTGCCGCCTTCTTGCAGCCGGTTCCCTCCCGTAGCGGTACGGGGAGTAGCCGCCTCCACCTTCCCCCTGCATGGAGCTCTCTGCTATCGGGGAGCAGGTGTTTGCAGTGGAGAGTATCAGGAAGAAGCGCATCAGGAAGGTGAGGATATGGGGGGAGGGGGAACAGCATCTATTCCTCCACCTCGCCCTCCAGTGCTGCAAGCAGGGGGGCTCCAGAGCCTACCCCTCTTTCCCATTCGTGTACCACGCGGAAAGGGGCGCAGAAGCCCCTGCTCCCTTGTGCCCTTTCCAGCATATTCCAGCTGTAGGGGGTGTGGCGGACACGGGCATAATTTCGCACCCCATGCTGCAGGCATCTGTATGGGGGGCATCAATATGTACTTCACCCATGTCGAATGCGGGGGGTGGCGTGGTGATGGGCACTCGCACTGCTGCGAGCAGGGGTCGTGAAGGAGAATCATTGTCAAGCCCCTGTGCTGCAGGGTATGGGAATGTTTTTTCAGTTACCATGTTACAAGTAGAGCTGTATGGTGGGTGGGAGTCACCCACACCGCCTACTCCAACCTCCCAGAGACAGGACAGGTACCATTTTAGTGTATGCTGTTCCTTGAAGGAATGGAGAGAAGTGCTAGATACGAGATTTATAGGGGAAGAGGGTTCCTGCCTGCTCTTCTTCCCTTTTCCACCTTTGCAATTAGGTCCTCTTTTCCTTTCACCTCTTCCCCTTTATGAATAATGACCCATTCAAGAATCGTCCACCTTACCAAATTTCCTGAGTTCCCTCTCCCATCCTTTATGCTTGTGGATATAAGTTTCTTAAGTGTGACTCCTATCTCCAATTGGTTGATGATCTTAATTTGAAGTAAGGGTTCATTCATTTCTTTTTGGAAAAATGTGGGTGTGGAGAGAGAAGCACTGATGGAAATGGGAGAGATGCCTGCATGTTAACCTCTAACCTCCGCTACCTTAGACACTTATTTTTGACCATCTCTTGATTCTAGGGTGCTAAGAGATATTTGTGGTTTGAATGGGCACTGCTGTAGATGATGAGGTGATTGGAAAGGACATAGTGCAATGAATGCAAAATCAGTTTTGAAATGTTGATGTGGGACTCTGGAGAGATGATCAAATAGAAAAGCATGGCTTTGTGCTTAAATGATAGACATGGAAGTTGAAGTAGCTGATTTCCTGCTTCTGACATTGACTTTCAGTAACCTTGGGCAAGTTAATTTGTCCCAATTTTTTAAATTACCACTAATTGTGTGTACTGTTTTTGGAGGCTTTGGCTTTTTTATTTCCCACCGGGGTGTTGAATTCCCATTGATTTGAATTGAAATGATTGATGCTCCGCACTTCTGAAATTCATGCCGAGGTGTGTCAACTTGGGGACCCAAAATCAGTGGATGCTCTTGCATGATCTCCTTTCCCCCTGCAAATCATTTGGTGTGTTAAATTTATCTTAATTTTTACATGTCCCGTCCCTGTAAGTATTTGTGTACCTGTATACGCCACACTTGAGGAAAAGTTGCAAGAGCAAAGTGGTGCTGTTGTTATTCAAAGATCATATCAATTATACGCACGCTCCTCAGGACTCTGGAACTGATTTCCATACTTTGCCATTTCTTCTCTCTCCACACCTCCATTAGTAAGTAAGTTGATACCCTTTAAATTCAGCTTTGAATTGCTGTTCAGGTAAAATGGTTGAGTGGCTTGGATGGTTGAGACAGTGTTTGGGCAAAGCATGCAGCAACTGGAAGGGGACATGCCAGAGAAGCATTTCATACCTTCTATAATCTTGTATTTCTTCAGATTTCTTATTGCTAACCCTCTCGATACTTGTTCCATTCCTGATGTGAGGTTTTTCTCCCATCATGTTTAGGCTGGCAGACTTCTTGTAGTGTTGCTTATGAGTTGTGTATCTGCGCACATGCGGGCTGCTTGTTGGAGGGTTGCTAGGGCTCCGCCTTCTAGTATATTAGTCACTTTGGAAGCACTTGCAAAACTGTGCTCCCTGATTGATAGTAGAGTCATTTGTGCATACTCCAAGTAGTCTCATGTTTGCTTGAGAAACCTATGGATTATTTAGTTTAATGAAGAAGAGTTTATTTTTTAAGGCTGGGAAGGGAAACAAGCTCTTCAGTTGTGCCATTGCCAGTGCAGACCAAAGGGCATTCTCTTGACATGGTTTTCCTCTTCCTGTAGTACCCATTTTGGGTTTCAGGGCTTACCTCTTTTTTTTTTTTTTCTTTCCCCTCTCTGTCTAGGGTAAAGTAGAATACCTAGTGAAGTGGAAAGGATGGCCCCCAAAGTAAGTATCTCTGTTTTTTCTGCTTGTCAATAATGGCTTTGGCTGTATTTCTGTTCCCTGTGTTATTAATATATATTCTCTTGTACCTTTGTCCAAAAAGGAGAGCCCCAAACAAATTCCATGTACCCATAAATACTAGTGAAGCTGAAATATGGGCCCTTTATCCCTCAGTTGCCTATCTCTTTTTGTTACCCTCTTCCCTCTTAAACTGTCTATTTCTACTCCATTCAAGTAATCAGCAATTTAAATAGGAAAACTCAAAAGGAAATCCAGATGCTAGGGTTTAAGTGTTTCAGTAGGAGGTGTTCTTCCTTCCAAGTCAGTACTGAGAAGACCCCAGCATATTATTAGGAGGTGGGTTGGTAGATTACCTCTAGAAGTGCTTCCCTTTGGATAAGACACACATTGTGAGCACTGCTGCTTATTATTAAAGACCCCTCTTCATGGGAGAAGGGGCACTGACTCAGATTTACTGGTTATAGTCCAATTCAAGGGAATCTGTTGCCTTTTGAGGATTCTCACTATTTTCCTTTGGTTATAGCATATTTCTGTTCCTGTCCTAAATTATTTTAGTTTACAGTTACTTGAGTCTTCCCCAGAAGACTGTGCATTTCAATTGGGAGTGACTTTTCAGGCAGGGAACAATCTGTAAAATGCTGAGAGATGAAAGAGATTAGGTAAAATTATTACTATGTAAACTGTCTACTTAATAGAACTAGCTCCTCCTTAGTCCATATGGACATCTGTCTTCACTCTTCTATATACGGACCAGTGTTCAGATGGAAATATACTGCAAGTGCACATGCAGTCACATTAGAAAAGATGGGGAAAATAGATGTCCAGTGATACTAACAAATTCCTGCAATTGCAGGAAAATGACCGGCTAGGACAGGCCATCTAGATTCAGTGCTCCAAAAGAAGTTGAAATGTCCCCAAATGCCCTTCTCCTCCCCTTCTCTTCCCCAGAGCCAAACACCTCTCCTCCCTGCTGTAACCCAGTCTCCTTTCTTCCCCACCCCGTGGTTAAGGGAGAGATTTTCTTCTGGCTATAAATTCTGTGATCAGTTTAACTCTGTGCTGTTCATTACCAGTCTCTGTATAATGCAGTTTAGCACCCTGGCCATTTTTCTGTGGGCCTGTTGACTTTCGAGTTAACTTTAGCTTTGTGTATTCAGACAGTCAGGTTGGGAATTATGTGTGCATTGCTAGAATCACAGAACGCTGGTGTTTGTCCCATGTTACTTTCCACAAGTACAGTCACTGCAGTGGTGCCTATTTAACTTCTGCTTGGTTGTCAGCCTGAAGGAATGGGTGGACTGAAGCTTGGTATAATATCTCTTCTGAAGGACAGTGCGGTACTTAATCTGCATTTGCCTTCTTTCTTCCCTTCCCTCAGACCTTGAGATCCCCAGTGAAACAAAATCCTAGCACAAGCAATCAAATCCTCGCAGCCTCCTGGCTCAGAGGCAAGAGAGGTCCTTGTTTTGAGAGATCATGTCAGCAAAACATGAAAATATCAAGCCCTGTTGATTGAAATCTCATTTTTGAAACCTGTTTTCACCACGGCTGCCGTTACTTAAAACCTAAATGCGTCAATTGTAAACTCTCTTCCTTCCTTTCACCGTGCCCTGTCCTTGATCTCTGAAAGCTCTGTACATCCAGAGATGTGCAGCATATATTTGTTTGCATCTTAACCTTCCTGAACATTCCTTTACCCATCTTAGTTTTGCCGATGTCCTTTTGGCTCTTTCTGATTTCCTTACCAGTTACTTAATTACTCCCACTATGGCTTTGATGGAAAAGGGTCAAGTGGTTCTCAAATTTTTGTATTAAGTGACCCCATTGACACAGCAAGCCACTATATGTGACCACTCCTATAAATTAAAAACACCTGACTAATATCTAACACTATTATAAAGGCTGGAGACAAAGAGTTTGGGGTGGAGGCTCACAGCTCACAACCCAATGTTCCCTCTAATCTTTTCTGTCTATGTGGAGAATACATTTTTATGTGCACCCAGGCATGTGTGAATGTGCACCACCAATAGAAACCCAAAACTTAGCGGAGGGTGGGGCTTAGATGGAAAAATAGTCACCTAATCCGCTGGACAGCATTTAAATTTCTCCTGAGTGGTTTACGGTGAACCCTGCTCATTACCCCCATCTAATAAACTCATGATCCCTGTTTGAGAATCCCAGGGTAAAAGGTCGGTATAAGCAGTGCATTTGCATCTTTCCTGTGCTTTTCACATACTCTTATCAAATTTCCCTCATTAATTTGCCACTCCTATCAAATCTCTGGGTTGCGCTGCTGCAGGCAGGGGTGTGAAGGGTTACAGATCTGACTCAGCCATACGCTTGTTTACAACTTGTTTGAGGTGGAGGGGGGAGTGGGGACGGAAGATCATGTGATCTGTGTTTTCCAGAGTGTGTGCTCTCTCTGCAGTTCTGCTGCTGCAGCCTGGACTGTGTGTGTGTATGTGTGTGTGGTGCAAATTGCACCATGTTTTTTTTATATATGCAGTGTTTTGCCACTGCAGTGAGCTGGGAGCTGAGCTGCAGAGGAAAAGGAAACACCCACCAGGTTTTTTGTAACAAATCTCTCTCCTCCTCTGCCTCCAGAAAAGGAATCCTCTGCCTGATTTCCCCCTCCCTTCTGCAAAAAAACAAATGCCCAATCTCTGGAAATGAGGAAAAGAAACCATCCTCTGCTCAAATAATATTTGGACTCTGCCAGCTTGCAGATACAGAGATTGCTGCAGGAGGCTTGGGTGAAAAAATGGGGGAGAATTGGTTAGAGGATATGAAAAGAGAGAGAAGGGTCAGTTACCAGGGAATAGTGAAGACCTGTCCTTAGCCTTGTGATCTGTCCGTAATCTTCTTGGAACCCCTGTGTTTCATACCTGTCCTTCTCCCTTGATGAGGAATCTACATTAGGGTTTCTAGAATCATCATTAGGAACCTCCTGTATCTTTTGGTACTTTTTTCTTCCTCGGGAGTGAATGTTCTAGAACCACATGCACAATCTACACCTGTTCATCCACAAGCCAGACTGTTCTGTAATAATTTGACTTGCTGCTTCCTGAGAACAAGTTTGTACAAGTACTGCTGCCCTGCTAGTGGTTTTGGGTACCACTTCTCTCTTCCCCTCAGGAATCTGAGCGTGTGCCCTGCTGCATGAGCAATAAACCTTTCTAGTCTAGAAAATAAATCACTGTGGAACATTTTGTTCTAGAGCTGTATTCTCCTCTGGGCTAGGTGAGGCATTCTAGACAAATATCAACCCCAGTCAAGCATGACCTTTGAGTAGTAACCCTTCCAGAATTGTTTCTCTTGCTTTTTTTTTTAAACTCTTCTATGCCCAAGCTCTTATCAGAAAGCACCTTTTAAAACTCTTCCCCATCGTTAAAGTGTTTCGTTGATACCACAGATACCTCACCTAACCCCCAGTTCCTGTCTCAGCTGCGTAAGTCAGGAACAAAACTGAAGACAGGCTGATGACCTTTCTGCTCTGCAAGGCTAGCTTTGTTTTCTGGGTGCTGAGTTCAGAAGTACTATTTCCAGACCTCTCCCATAACACCTGCTTATGTTAAACAGCTTCTGTGCTGCTGAAAACAATGTGCATGCATCCTTTTGTTCTTATCCCAAACTAGAACTGGTGTAAAAGCTAGTGTTGTCACCTCTAGGAGGAGTTAGGAAAATAAGAAATAGCAAAAAGGTTTGAAGGTTATCAGTCAATCTACTTTAGGTGCCAATCTAGGTGTCTTTAAAAAAAATCTGTAGTAAAAAAATCTATTCAGGTGTTTTAATCCTTTCAACATCTGTAATCTGAGAGCTGTTAAAAACATAGGTGAAGAAACATACTTCTTAGGACACTTGAGATTATTAGAGTCCTGTTTTCTTGAAAATCCCATCAGACCAGCCTGTTGCCTTAGTGATTAGTGCTCTGCCATGCTGGATTTGCTCCCCAAGTTGAGAGCATCATGGCAGAGCAGATTTGCTCAATCCTCAGTCGTGGGAGTAGTTTGATGCTTCTGCTGACATTAAGTCAGGTGGGCCAGTAGTGGTAAGCCCTTCCTATTATTTCGTGTGGGTGTTGGAGGGTTTGATTCAGGGGGTGCATGGGAAGTCCCCAAAGCTCTAAAAGTAGTGGGTCTGTTTCCCTGACTCCCCACTCATGAGAGTTATGTTCCAGGGCCTCAGCAACACCTGAAGCATCCCTTACAGAGAAGTTTCATTGAAAGAATTTTAAAATATATTCATTTTTATTTCTTTAGATACAGCACATGGGAGCCAGAAGATCACATCCTGGACCCTCGCCTGGTAGTGGCTTATGAAGAGAAGTAAGAGGGCTTGCTTTTCCCAACCCCCTCAGGCAAACTTAAAATTAAAAAAGTCCTGTATGCATAAAATGCATGCAGCATGGGCCCATGCTCTCCTGCCAACAGGCCTCAGTCGCCACCAAGGGTGGCCACTTCTGGGAATGTATGGTCCATTCTCTATCGTCCATTCAGCCCTGAAACTCTGCTGAGATAGGCAAGAAAAAAAGTCAGTGCCAGTCATTGCTCAGATGCTGCTGGAGAGCTATTGTGAATAACTTCCAGTCAGTGACCTAGAGGCCTAATGTCCCACCCTAGATCAACAGAGCTGTGAAGCTTCCCTTCAAAAAAGATTGTGTTTTACTCCCAAGAGAAGCTCCTCTGGGATTTTCTTCTCATTCATATGGTGGCCAGTGGAGTCTGGTGAAGGCATTAAGGGAACTAGCTAGGTACAGAGAGCAAAAGACCTAGTTGGGCATTGTGCTGTGTTCTGTATTGTGGTTTTGTTATCTTGTGTGTGTCTCTTTTCCCCTTGCAGAGAAGAAAGAGATCGTGCATCAGGATACAGGAAGAGAGGCCCGAAACCAAAGCGCCTCTTATTACAGGTAACCTTTCACTCTTCCTGGTGTGTCCTCTCCCATCCTTAGCCCTTCTGTTGTTGTGCTGTCTATAGATCTTCCAGGGTGGAGTTAGCTTTCTGTTTGCAATATTCTGTGCTAGGAAGAAAGGGTGGTGGATTTTAAACATAATTGCTAACACATTTTGAAATTCTATGTGGACAAGCAAGCTGCAGTTCTAACCCAGCTAGCGGATTGAGATTGAGGGCGTGCTTGCCCGCCATGCTGGGGTAGCCAGCTTTGTGTGGGGCGGGACTCAAAATAGCATGTTAACAGGTGCCAGTTTGGATGTTGCAGCAGTGGCAGAGAGTGGCTAGCCACCTATTACACACAGCACACTGTAGCTCTATGCCAGGGTTTTACAAAGTGTCAGATATCACAGTGTTAAACGCCTTTTTGTTCTGATGTGCACAAGTCCCCTTTCTTTGCTGCTTTAAGCTCTGAGAGGGGCACTGAGAGCATCTCCCTACTGGAGATTATCCCTATGTGAATAATAGGGGAAGTTTGGGCAGAACTCAGATATTCTGTTTTGTAAACAGCTCTCCAGTGAGGCTGGTGCCTTCATGTTAATGTTTATTTTCAGCAAAACTTAAGCTGTGCTGTAGCCCAGGTGGAGCTGGTCTGTTTGTAGCAGTTAAGGAATTAGAGGAGAGCAAGTGGGCTCCACAAGGCAGAAGTAGGGCAATTAGAGTTCTGCCATTAAAGAAATGCTGCTTTGTTGTGTGCTCACTGGATTCAAAGCAGGCCTTGGCCTTATGGAATGCCAAAGCCATTAATCACATGGAAGCAAAGTTCTAGCACCAATAACCATAATATGTCTGCCCACTGCTGTGCCATGGAGATAATTCTAGGAATTAGAGATAGGAAAGACTTATTGGCTCAACTAGCCTACCCTTTTTGTAAACCTCTCTGTGGTCGTCTTCTCCATTTTAAACATCCCAAGCACTAAAGCTTCCAACTTGTATTTATTTTTATTATGGTAGAGCCAAGAGGCTCCAGTCAAGATCAGGCCCTGTTTTGCTGGGCACTGGACAATCATCATATAGCGAGGGACCACCTTTTCCCTGGAGTCTTTATAGGACAGACAAAAGATAGGAGGGGAAATGGAGACACAGGGAGTAAATTGATAAGTCCAAGGTTACTTAGAAGATAAGTGGCAGACACAAGACTAGAACCAGGTTGCCTGACTCCTAGACCAATGCTCAGCAATGAACCAAGCTGTCTCAAGAGGAGACTATTCTGTACACTAATAGATCTTGCTGTTGGTATAACTGACTTAAGACATTCATCTCAAGCTTTCCCTCTGCTGAGTGACCTCACTGCGCAACTCTTCCCCTTCCTACGTGTTTGTACACCTGTAAATTCTCATCCCCCTTCCTCTTAGCATGATTCTGTTCCTGCAAAGGCACTGAAACACACAGGTGCTTTTGTTCTGTTACTCTGGGATGATTGGCCTTTCTCTTCCACTGCTCTTCACAGAGACTGTATGGTATGGACCTGAGGAGTGCCCACAAGGGAAAGGAGAAGCTCTGTTTCTCTCTATCTCGGCGATTTGGAGGAGGAGGGAGCAATTTGGCGGGGGCCAAACCAGGGCAGACAGAGCTATCGGAAAAGAGTGCGGGAGGTGTCCTACCATTCCCACTCCGGAAGCAGCGCAAGAACCAGAAATATCTCCGGCTCTCGCGGAAGAAGTTCCCACGCATGTCAAGCCTAGAGAGCCGTAACCACAGGCGTGAGTTCTTCTTGAAGGACTCAGTGGCGCTAGAGGCTAGGCAGACTCCCAATGACTGGGATGCTACGCAGCATGCTAGCAAAGAAGGTAAGGCCGGGAAACCCCATTTGACTCTGAATTCAGAGGCATTGGCATGATGCTCTGATTTTGTTTACCAGATATGCACTCACTCTTCCCCCTTGCCTACTGCATCCTGGGAGCATGGATTTGCGTTAGCTCGTTACAGTGTGTGCAAAAGCTGTTATTGGCCAAGTTGTCCCCAAACACCTCTGCAAGTTGTCTAGATGAATGACTCAGTTAATCTATCAGTTTGTTTCTGTGGTGTTGACACCTGTGTGTTTTTTATATTGGTGACCATCATCATCATATTGTAGTGTGTGAGAAAGCTGGTGCTGCTTTCCCAGAGAGCTGATACTCTGTCTGTTGCAGTGAGAAGCTCTGTGTCTTGCCATGTTCCAGCACACATTCCTCTCCCTCCCCCGATAAAGGGAACATAAAGGATAATCCTCTATCAGTGCCACATTGAGGCATGTGTGCAAATGTCATTGAGAACCCTCCCCCACCCAAATCCCTTTAATGTGTTCCATCACCAGATTTGAGGGTGGAATTCAAAGATCATTGGAACTTCATCAAATATCACAGGTTAAATAGGTTCAAGAAGTGGACAGCAGAGCTCCAGGAAAACTCCTGGAGCAGGGAAGGCTTGTGGCATCATAGGAATCACATCCCTTCGAGTCAATAGCAAACCACTAGCCCTGCAAAGCTGAAGCTTCTGAAGGTGGGGCCTTCGTGATGAGATGTAAAATGAAGTTTCTTATCACTTGTGGTTGCTAAGAAAATGGTAGCACTCCTGGTAGGTGTTATCCAAGTTAGAATTAGATGGGACCCAGGGGCTAATTGGGGTCTGGCAATCTAAATTTTCCCTTCTGGTTTCAATTGGAGAAAGTATTCACCTTCCTCTTTGTGATTGTGTAGTGTTACTAATGCAGAATGGTAGTCTTCCTGCATATTGATGGTGGGTGATGATCCTTAGCTGTGTCGTCTGTAAAGCAGTTTGGGATCTGAAGGATGAATGGTGCTAGAGAAATGTAAAACTATTTTTCTATTCTCCCCTCGACGTGTGCACATTCGGAATTCCGGTTAGTGTCTGGGTGAATGGACTCTTTCCGAGGTGAGAGTAGAGACACCTCAGGTATCTGAGACAGAAGCCAGGAAATGCCCAGTTAAGGGGTCCACATTCCATACCCAGGTGGGACAACAGGGTGCAGTACAGGTAAAGTAATAGAGAGGGGATGTTTTCCTCCCCTCTCCATATATTTTTGTGGCTCTCTTTGGGTGCGGGAATTTGTTCAATCTGTTCTTAAATTTCTTATGATGTGGGGAAGTGGAAGTGGGGGGTATTTGGGTCCTTCACTTTGAATGGCAGAGGTTAGGTGCTCCAGGGGAGAGTGGATGTTTTCAGCTTCTTTCCCTCGGTGGGGAGGGAGCGAAGAGGGAGACTCTTGTACCCTTTGGACCCCAAAGGAGCGGCATTGGTGGGCTTTGGAGAGAGTCACATCCAGCCCTTCCCTTGGCTGGATTGGTGGTACAATGGAGGAAAATCCTCCGTTTTAGTGCCCTCCTTAGACCCCAGGGAGTATGAAGTGTCTGGGACAAGCTTGGAAAATGAGTTGTGAGTGTTGTGGTTTTTGGTTGGTTTGGTTGTTTGATAGGGTGGGGGTTGACTTTACATTACAGTGAACACGTGCATGAGCTAGGACACCTGTGGGCTGAGATCCAGTTGCAAGATATTCCCCCTAAAGTGGAATATTGACTCCCATTTGCCAAGAGGGTGGGTAATGTATAATGAAAATTCTGATGGACCTGTAAGCGTGGTGGTACTGTTGGCCTGCAAAGTTGATTGTGTGTTTGTCAGTCGCTCTTCTTGCCACTTCCCCTTCTTTACCTCGCCCTTCCCAGTCCCATTATCTTCCTATCTCTTCCCTCTACCCCTTAATTTCTGTGGTGGGTGTATGTGTTAGACACATATAGTGCCTTGGAGCATGTGCAAGCTTGGCACAGATTGATGTCACCCACCCGTAGCCAGCAAGGATGCTCCTCTTCTGTTTGCCCCTTATTCTTTTCCTAATGTGCTCTTATCCGCCTCTCCCTTTGCAGTAGGCGTGGATGCAGTTGATGGCAACCTCCCCTGGATCCCCACGCTGTCCCCCAGTGAAGTGACAGTGACAGACATCACGGCGAACTCCATTACCGTGACCTTCAGAGAAGCACAAGTGGCTGAGGGATTCTTCCGAGACCGAAGTGTGCAGCTCTGAATCTCCATTTTTAATGTTCCTAATCAAATTCTTTTGGGGTGGGGTAATTATTTCACTTTTAAAAAAATCCAAAATGTTTCTTTGAAAAATGTTTACAAAGGGTTTTTTTTTTTTTTTTAAACTGAAGTCTCATAGATTTTTCTTTTCCCCCCTTCAGATACGCAAAAACAAAAGGCAATGTAGGGGTGCCTGTGTTTTTGTTTGTTACTATATATAACACACACTCTTGTCTGTTGTTGCTTTGTCTGTCTGAGAAACTGATACCCCCTTTCCGTGGCAAAGACTCCCCTTTTAGGGAATATTAAGAAATTTTTCCTTTATGTATTCCCTTTGCTGTATTAGTTCTGGCAGCTGAATTCAGGGTGAGAGAAGACACAAGGACGGAGAAGGGGTTGGACCTTTTGCTTGCTTCCCTGTTTTGCAGTTGTCCTTTGAGTGAAGATACTTTCTCGGGAAATCATCCTCCCCTTCTTCCTCCTCCCATCCAACTTCAGCAATGAGATGTAATAGACCCAATCACTTTGAGTGACTCAAGTCTGTTATAAGCTTTCTCCCTTCCTAATATTTTTTTTCCTGTGGCCTGGCACTGTGGTGCTTGTGGCAGTATTGCAGGTAACCCGCTTGCCTCGGAAGGTAGGAAGCTCCATTGAACATTATAATGGTTAGTGTAATTCTATGAAGACTGAAAGGATGTCTTCCCTCTCTGTGTGATCCACTGATCCTGTACACACATCTTTGTAACCTCCGAGCTGTGGCATATTAGCTATACATGCTCACTTTGGATTTCTGGGCCTTTAATAAAGGCAGCGCTGAAACTTAGTTGTACCCCCAAAGGTTAGTATAAACTAACAAAGAAGTACTCATTCTTCCTTATCCAGAGACCTTCCTAGAAGTTTTCTGTCTAACTAGAGCCCTTCTCTGATCTAGAAATATGGCAAGGGGAAGGTATTAGTGTGTAACCCTGCAGTGAGGAATGAGGATCCCCTTTGCTGAAAACCAAATCCAGAATGGATATCAGTGGTGTCCTGAAAATGCTTTAGTAAAAAGGGATGGCTCTCTTCTTGGGGATCACCAAAGAATTGAAACACTGCCTGGCAGTGCTGGAAATCCAGAGACAGCAGCAGTAGCCTAGTGCATGAGAATCCGGCAGTGAAACTGGACGTGAGCTGGTCAGTTTCTGCTTCTAGATAGTGTGGAGTTTTTTCCCCACCTCATATCAAATGTAAAGAGCAAAATGGCTGGGAGGAGCCTTCTAGACTTCTAACAGTTTTAAACTTTTAAAATTTATCTTCTAATGTGATAAGGGTTCTCGGATTGAGTACCCTATTTATATTTTCCCTTTTCAACTTCCATCTTCTTACAGTATCTGTGACACCCCGTCCTTATTTTTGTCCTTTTACTCAGTGACCATACCTTTGGAAGTGTTTAAAAAGTTTTGCTGAGGAAAGCTACCTGTCGTTCAATAGACTCTTCCTAATGTTGCACTTACAAATATCTGGAGACTTGTGCCGGATTCTACTTGTGATGTCTTGGGGTTTCTAAGAATTGCCGTATTTTCAAAGTTGATAGTTCAGCATCTGTTCATGCATACTCTCTTCCTTCTTTAATTTAAACTTATTTAAAGAAGTTAAATCTCTCTCTCCCTATGGAAAGCAAGAAGGGGGAGTTAGACCCTCAAGGGGGAATTGTGGGGCTATATGCTGCAGTACAGCTCTGGCTCTTTTACTTCTACCCTGCAAAAAATGACTGGTGGTTTTATGCTATCTGAACCCTCTTTCCTACAGAGCTGAAGCTAAGTGTCAATGGAAAAAGCTCTTATCCTGGAGAGCTTAGCTTCAGGCCTGCAGAATTTAGGAGTTCTGCAACACTGATGCACTGGGTCCTCCAAACATTTGCTTTTTATAAAGCTCTTGGATTGCCCCTAAGCTTTCTTAAAAAGCATACTTTACCTTTAATAGGTGGTAGCTGCTAATAGGATGAGACTGCCTTCCACTAGGTCATGGCACTTGCAGGGTGGATTGAAACACCCTAAATTTTGGGTGTCTCACTGAAAATATTTTTGTCCCTCAAAATAAACAAAATGGAGGATGCAGCAGATTGCTCCAGCTCCAAGATGTTATAAGTGAGGAATATTGAGAGGGAGGTGGAATCTGAGTTGATTATTTTTAATGATGAGAGTAGGCATCAGAGGAGAAGCGCTGAATCCTTTTTTAAAAAAACAAACAAAAAAACCGGGTGCAACCCATGAGATAAACATAGACTCAGGACAAAGTATGTCAGACATGGTTGCCTAGAGTTAGGTTCCTTAATGCATATATAGTCACCTACATGGAAATAACCTCTTTTCCCCATTACTTTATTCAAAAAGGCACTGAGGATCAGGGATGTGAATGATTAGTCGACAGGCTAGTCAACTAGTCACTCCCCCTTCCCCCTTGCTGCCTCTATCAGAAAGAGGCAGCGAGGAAGGGGCGCTTCAAAGCAGCAGCGCCGTGTGGAGCCTGGGGCCAGACCCCAGGTTCCACATGGTGCTGCCCTTTGAAATGCAACATGCATCCCGGGGCCACCTGGTCCAGGAGGCCCGGGCTGCATGCTGCATTGTCAAAGCAGCAGCGCCACGTGAAGCCTGGGGTCAGCTGGGGACTCTCCCACTGACTGTGCGCTCCATGAAGTGATGATGCTTTGAAACATCGTGTGGAACCTGATGCTGTGCTACCCACAGTGTTTCAAAGCAGCAGCACTGCATGGAGCCCGGGGTCAGCAGGGCACTCAAGCAGTCTGCCACGGGGAGCATGGGGCCAGCAAGGGACTACTTGAGTCTCCTGCTGGCCCCATGCTCCCTGCAGTGCTTTTGCTTTTGAAATACACTTCAAAGGCAGAAGCGTCCTTATCGACTAATCGAAATTTTACATCCCTACTGAGCACCTGTATCTCCCAATGACTTCCTTGAAAGTTGCAGGTGCACAGCGTGTCTGAAATCAGGGCGTCTTTGATCCAGGTGACTACAGATTTTGAAGATTAATCATAGCCACTTGAGTTTAAAGAACTTGCATCACAATTTATCATTCCAAACCTTTGTAGGATCTAGAAGAATGGTTGTAACTTTTTCTGTTCTATATGGGTATGGCTGCCTATGCACTTTCTCCAGTTTTAGTCCAGAAATATTGCAAGCAGAACTCGTGTGTGGATGTTTCTCACCTTGGCCAAAATCTGGAAAGCTGCAGAAATTTGTAAAGGCAAGCAAAAGGCTTCTCTCACAAGACTTATGTTCTGCTTTTCTCTTTCCTTGTTACCTTCTATGCACCCACTAAGATTTTCCAGACCAAAGAATTCTGTCTTGACATTAATTTTCTTTGAATAACACTGTTTTTGCAAATTTAACTGTAAGTGGAAGCTTTGGAGCTGTTGCAAACAGCATTCACCCACTGCTTCATTTTTAACCCTTTTGTAGATGTTTACTTGTATTGCTTCTAATGACTAACTTCCTCTCCTGACCTAAAATGATTAAGGAGATGTCTTAGCCATAGTACTTTATGCCCAAGTCAGAGCGGGTAGGGTGGGGGGCTGTTAATCCATTTCCTGTTGAGATGCAGAACCTTGCTGATATGTGGATTGACTTTCTCTTGGGCGTGAAGAGAACAAGGGGGGGAGGATGTTTTGTGGTAGGAAACTAAGCATGTATTTTATCCATTATGACACATCCTTAGCAAGGTTCGCCGATTTTAAAAATCAATCTTACTCTTCACAGAATGGTTTTATTGTTTTTAATCTCGTTAAAGTGCAGTTCTCTTCTCAAAAGGGGCTGGAGAAATCTTGGTGTGGGCTCCAAGGTGGTGGAATGTTAATGATTTTCAAATCAGATGTTCTCAGTTTACAAGTGCAAAGTTTCTTACTGCAAACTCAGCTTGGAATCTGAAAGTCATATGGGGGCATTGTTGGCTATTGTCACAAAAATCAAAGGTTCTGTGATGGGAGCTTCACGAGCTATTATGGCTGATGCAAAAAACAAAATAGGGTCCAGTTGGAGTTTAATATTTGAAAGATGAGCCAGAATAGAATCCAACTATCTCCCCTATAGTTCTGTTGACTGCAAGGTGGAAACTTCAGCCAGCAGAATTACTCAAGGGACCTGCATTTTGTTTAAGAACAGAACTGCATTGTAAGAACTTGCTGGCAGTTCTTAGGGCAGGCAATGCTTGTTTCATGCATCTGTTCATAATGGTCTTTTATGTTTGGTTTGTATCATGGCCACACTTAGAGGTCCCAATCTCATTGGGACTCTTTTGTGCTAGGCTCAGTACAAACACTTATTGAAAACAGCTTTTTCCTTCCCCCCAATTCCTTTTATCCCCACCCCGAATATTATTGATTCCACAGAGTACCAAGCATAAGTGAGTAGTGGTATCTTTAAAGTACATCTACACTGCAAAAAACAATCTCCCAGAATCACATCTCAGATCCCAGGTCAACTAACTTGGGCTCCCATGATAGGGCTAAAAATACCCATGTAGAAGTTCCCATGCCTAGCCAAGCAGAAATATTTACCGAGCTATTTTTAGCCCCTTTGTGTGATCCCAAGTCCGTTGACCCAGGCTCTGAAACTTCTTGCTCCAGGTCTTTGTTTCACAGTGTAGACCTCCCATTAGTAGATCTGTGTCTTCAGCACACCCCTTATTCCCCTGAAACGGCTTGAGCCCTGGATGTGCCCAGTCCCATTTTGTTTTCAAGGGCAGACAGGATATTGTGGGAACACCCAGATGCAGTTCCTTTTGCCAAAATAAACCCAAGTCTGCCAGGAAAGTGACCCTGACTAAGTCAGAGCCTCAGACAGAAACGAGCATGTGATTAACATATCAGAACAGGGTGTTTTTTGTTTTGTAGTTAATGTTGTGAAACTGTCCGGAAAGATTCTTCTGGTGTGTTTGATTGAATGTGTGAACTTGGTTTTGACCTCATGGGGGCCCCTGGCCCCAATAAGCTTCCTGCTCTACCCTAGCCCCATGCTTAGTAGTGTGTTTGACAGTTTAACTGGAATAGAGAGAGTGGCCTCATGTTGGCTGAAAAATAGGCAGGCTGCTAATAGGAGATAATGCAAACACCACAACAAAGATTGGGGTGAAGAAACAGGGCTGATGGCTGCAGGCAGTAGCCTACAGTTGATGGTTAAAGCGGGGCCCCTTTGCTGAACTATAACTTCATGCTTTTGAACCAGGAATGAAGCAAACCTCCTTTCTAAAAAGTGTGACACTTTTTTCCTTCTGCTCCTATTTTGTGTACTTGTTCCTACAGCATAGGATGGAGGGTGGAAAGTTCCAGTGAATGGCACAACTACCTTGTAAGGTCCAGCATTGCGTGGGCTCCAGAGTTGTGCTGGATCTGTGTTATCATATCCCCATTGTCAATAAGAATGTTGTTAGACTGTTCAGGATGGACCATTGGGGGACAGTGCCAGTTGTTTCAGGAAGAGGAGTGCAATGCGATGCAGGGAGTATTCACTGACTTGTGAGGCCCTTCCAGGGTTTGCATCATGTTAATCCTTCCCATGAATAAAATCAGATGACCAAGTGACAAACTTATTTTGTTGTTGGAGGCTAACTTCTGCTCCCATCCTTTGTAAATCCCAATTCTGAGTCTTGACAGTCACTAATGGCTTCATTCAACTGGCCAGTTTCTTCTGTGCACTCCACACTGGCCTGTCGTAGCTGTTGGTTTTGCCACGGATGTGTTCTCTTACTTCCTCTTGAGTGAAAAGATAAGCATATTATATGCATGGGGGGGAGGGAGTAATTTGGAGATGGAATATGTCTCTGTGCATTTGAATACACTGGCTGCACTGAATAATCTTCCTATCTCTTCGCTTCCTTCTCCCCCTTAGGACTTCATGGCCCTGCATCAATCAGCATTTTAGAAGAATTAACTGGCACTCCTCTGTGTGCTCTGAATGGTTATTGAGTAGGTGAGCATGTGTGGAGAGAGCCATTTGCTTCTGTGTTCAGTAGCTGGATGAGGGAAAGCAGAGATTTCTGAATACGCAGTGGCTTCTGGATGATCAGAAGTAGCACAGAGCAACTGAGCCCAGTAATGGAAGCTGCTAGTGGCTAGCAAGTGAATGGGTGACACAATTACTGTGTTTGCCAAATGGGATGGATAGACATCTTATGCTCAAAGGGTTGGCTGCTTTTATTAATTGTGGGCCACTTGTTAACCTGCCTGTCTTTTTAAAGATGATGCATTCTCTCCTCTCACAACTATGTGGGTGTTGGAGGTGCCTGATTGACATATTGGGCTGGAAGGGGGACACTGAGTGTCTCTCAAAAACCTGACCTCTTAAAATCTATCTGTTCTGTATAATTTTATTGCCAACAGTAGGAGAGGGATGACTGGGATTAGAGAGTTTGGGGGAAGGAGGTGTTAACCAGAAAGGTGGAAGTAGCACCAAAAATTCTTTGAAATCTGTAAAAAATGTTAGTCTGCTTTTTGGCTTTTCTTAAGTCAAGGCCTAAGAATGTTTGAAGCACTTTGAAGATGCAAAGAAAGCACTAGGAGCGCTGAGTACTCTTTTATTGCTTCTTTTGAAAAGTGGCATTGGAAAAGGGAAAGATGTATCCATTTTAGGCCATGGACTATTCCTTATCTCCTTTCCACATCTGCCATTGAGCCCTTTGCATCCCTTCGATGACTTCTAGGGTGGGTTTGCCATTCCGGGCTTGCCAGGTGAACAAAGGCTCAATGAAGACAGAGAGGAGACTTTAAAACTCCGCATCCACCTTCAAAAAAAAAAAAAAAAAAAAAAACCCCTCCACACACACTCTCAAATTTTTCCCCTGTCACTTGCTGGACATAGGGGAATAATTAGACTCTGTTCCTGTGTTAAGGGATTGTTTGTTTTGTTCAACAGAAGTAGTCCCAGTGTTTAGAGAGAGCTGAGATGTGATCCAATAAGTTTCTTCCATCTCTCGTTTTGGAGACATCTTTTTATTTCCTTTTTCCTGACAAATTGCACTTTAATAGCTTATTGGGGATGGGAAGCATATGTAATTCTTTGGGATAGGGGCAACCCCAACAGCTGTTTTCAGTGGCTGCTGGACTCTTCCAGTGGGTTATTGTCTCATCTCATGTCCAATAGCACAGGCACAAAGGAACTTTTTATTATCAGTTTAGGCTTAAAGAAAAACCTGAGTATTTTAGCTAGCTATATAGGGAGTTTTACTTAGTAACAGGCATCTGTGTTTAGAGGAACCCCAATCCTCCTGCTGTCATTTCAGCACTGATCTTCTCTCCCATGCTCCTCCACTGCTTGATTTGGGTTCTTCTAAGACTACAATATGACTTTTCTGCATATTTTTATGTTTGTTTCCCACAAGGAGTGAGATTGGGGAAGGCTATTTTATTTTTAATTCTTTGCATGATAGAGCACCTGAGTCTTTGCACAAGAAAGCTTCCTTTGCACAGAATGAGCTTCTAGCTTTTGTACAGACTAATTGAATGTATTTGGGCAGAGGGGGCTGAGGGAACGAATCAATTCCAAACAAACAAAAATAACACCCCCGAAGTATAATGCCTTTTTCTGAGTGAGTGCTTGTTGTAAATGGAGATTGTAATACAAATAGGAGGACAGGTCTAGTTACAATTTGATGCAAAGTGTGGTTTTATTTTTGTACTGATATGGATAAGAGACTGTACAGCATCTATTTATTTAGATGATTTACGTGGTAAATGTTGCAAACAAAATTATTAAAAATATTAAATATGAGAACTGACATTTAACTAATGGCCTGTTTCTGTGTTGTCATTTTCTCCCTAAATTATACAACTCCTTTCTTTCTCTGCTGATCTCTTGGCTAGAGTTGCCAGGTGTCCGGTATTGACCTGGACAGTCCAGTATTTTCGCCTCCTGTCTGGTTTTAAAAAAAATCAGAAAATACCGGACATCTAAAATGTCTGGCATTTTCTGATTTATTTCCGCTCCTCCCCCCTCCCCCGGCCAGGAGGTGAAAATACCGGACATCTGGCAACCCTATGACACACTCGGCAACTGGGCCCGGCCCCTGACAACCCCAGCCCTCTGACCTCCAGACCCACTGATTCTGCAGGGAAGCTGCATTCTGGCTTGATCAAGAAAACAAAATGGCTGCCGGCAAAAAGCCTAAAGACCAAGGTGCCTTCCCTAGGTCTTAGTGCTCAACTCTGTTCCTATCCCTATTCTGACTCTGCACACACTCTGAAAGGGGCCATGCTGGGTTTTTTTTTTCCCCTCTCAACTTTGGTCTCCCCTCCCCCCCCTTTGTTTTTTTTTCCCCTCTCAACTTTGGTTTCCCCTCCCCCCTTTTTTTCCCCCCTTCAACATAATTTTTTCCCCAGTGTGGGTTGTTTTTGGGGGTGGGGGGTTCAGTATTTGTGTTTAAACCATCTGGCAACCCTACTCTTGGCCTATGGGATAAATGTGCAGTAGTTCTACTTCAGTATGTGTGGTTAAACCATCTGGCAACCCTACTCTTGGCCTATGGGATAAATGTGCAGTAGTTCTATTGGCTTAGGAGGATGGAAATCATGTGTGTATGATGAACAGAGACATTTAATGAGGGCAATAAGGACACTTTCTGACAAGTTCCTTTATTGGACCATCTCAAGCAGATTAGGTGTTTTTATTTATTTTAAATATGGAAAGTTAGTTTTAGCTGTATACAGAAAAACCCTTAACACAAGTGGATCAGTATAAAAGGCAAAGCCATCCTATGTTTGCCTGAATATTTTCAAAAACTTCCATAAATAGCAGCAGTCTCCTAACTAAAATGGCATTGTTGCCAGATAGTGGCAATGCAGGGTTGAACTGATCTATTTAACCAGGGGAGCTGACAGCCTCTGGGAGACCCTGGGTAAGGTGTGTGAGTGTGGGTGGGGGAGAAGGACTGTGTCTGTGCTCTAAAAGGGTTGAGGCCTTGAGTAGAAGGGGCGGGTCTGGGATAGCCAGCCCTCCACATGGCCCAGACTGCAGCTTGTCCTCAGTGTGGCTGGGCCCTAATTGGCCTGGGGCTCCAGCCACCATTGTTTCTGCAGTAGCGACAGTGGTCGGGAGCCCCAGGCCCCTTTGAATTGCCAGGCCCTGGGACAAATGCCCCCTTCTCCTCCTCACCCCCATTGGCAGGCATGTATTTAACCACTTGCTTGCTGTCATCACTGCCATAAAGCAAAAAGATGATGGGGAATTATAGACCAGTTAGCTTAATTTCAGTACTTGGAAAGAAAATAGAGCAAATGGTTACAATACATAAGCACATAAACAGAGGGATTTGTCAAGAACTAATCATACCAAACTAATCTAATTTCCTTCTTTGACACAGTAATCAGCCTAGTGGACAACAAGGAAGTTGTAGGTGTGATGTATTGATATTTAGTAAGCCTTTTGATGCAGTTATTCTCAGAGGCAAACTAGTAAAATATGGTCTAAATTACATTATTGTAATGTGAGTAAACAACTACTTGAAAGACTGTATTTGGAGCAGTTCTCAATAGTATTGTTGTCAAACAAGACCTTATCAAGAGGAATCCTGTATGAGTATATGAAAATATTGAGTAATACCTGACCTTGGATAAACAATATGGAGGAGTGAGCAAAGAGTACATTTTAAAACTTGTGGTGGCAACCAAGCTAAGAGGTTACAAGCACTTTGGAGGACAGAATTAGGATTCAAAATTATTTTGATATATTAAATAAGTGGTCTGAAATCAAGATGAAATTCAATAAAGGTTAAATGCAAAGCAGTACACTTGCAAAGGAAAATATCAAAAGCACCAAAAAAAGGGGGAATAACTGGCTAAGGCAGTTGTGGGAAAGGATTTGGAGGCTTATAAGGGGTCAAAGTGATTGAGTCAATGTGATGCTGTTGTGGAAAGACTAATTCTGGGGTGTAGCTGTAGAAGTGCTGTATAGATGTCACTGGAGTGTTCCACTTGATGCTAGTGAGGCTTCAGCTGGAGAATTGTCTTGTTTTAGCAACCACACTTGAAGAAAAGGTGAACAAAATTGAAGTATTAAACAAGAGCAATAAAAGTGAGAGGTTTTGAAAACATAAGGAAAGGCTGAAAGAATTGACCATGTTTAATCAAGAGAAGTCTTCAATTGCATGTAAAAGATTATTAGAGAACATTAATTAATTGTTCTCTGGGTTCTGGCTAATGAAGTGGGGGAGATCTTGGGGCTTCAGCCCCACAGACCCTGCCTCCCAGGGTCACCTGAACAGGTGTGCCTGGGCTTTCAAACTTCTAAAGATGGTTATTTATGGCTGTCAGTTTAATCCCCTCTTGTTATATGGCAATGCTTATTTTCCTTCCTGTATGGGAATAAGTTATAGGAGTGTGTAAGCACACTTAGATATCACTACATCCACATTAGTGGTTGCTTTACCTATAGTGGAATAGTTAGTGGTACAACTGCGTGTAGATACTTAACACTGTTGATTTCAAATAAAATAGTGTAACAGAATGGATGGGACCTAACTGAACTAGAACCCTAGCTAGTTCAAGGGAACATGGGTAAGTCTCATCTGCTCTGCTATGGGAAAAAACTGTGAGAAAGGGACATAGGGACTGCCAAGGTGGGTCAGACCAGTGGTCCATGTAATATGCCATTCTATCCCTGGCAGCAGCCAGGCCTGGCTGTTGCTTCAGGAGAAAGGGCAAGAAACCTTGCAGAAGAAGTTATGGGAAAACCTGCATCAAGGAAACTTTCCTCCTAACCCCAGTCTTCAAGTTTATTCTCAGAAGTATGAAGGTTTCTGTCCGTTTCCAAACAGGTTTTGGTTCTTTAATGCCTTACTTATAATATGGGCTAGTCTTGTTACTTTGATCTGTGTCCAGACCTTTCCTGACTGTGCTGCTGGTGTAACACCAAAACCAGCAGCTGCCCCATTTTTCTACCAGTGGCAGTTTTTGCCATGTACATACAGCTTGTTTTGCTTATCCTGCACTGACATGTAAAGACTATTAATATTTCAATATATTTTATTACATTAATACTTCAGTTGGTGTATTATGGCTGAAAGTAAGCAATTTGCCAGTAAAGCTGTGCCTGTGCCATCCAGGGGTGGCCAGTCCATATAGGCGAACTAGGCGGTCGCCTAGGGTGCCAAGTTAAATGGGGCACCAAATGGTGGCACAATATCACTGAGGGATTTGGAGGTAGGGGTGCCCATTGCACGGTTTGCTTAGGGCACCAGTTGCTGGCAGCTAATCTAGGGCAGCTCTGGTGCCACCTTTGCATTTTTAAATCTCATTTTGTAAGCAAATCTAAAGTGAGGTGGAAGTCGGGGTACAGAAGACAGATCAGACGCCCGCAAGGGAGGAGTACCACTACAGCGGCAGCTCCCGCCACCTGCACTGAAGGGATGGCCAGGGACTAGCACAGACCTGCCCCCTTGACCCTGGGATCTCTCGGGGGAGGCAGCCTCATTGGCAAGCAGTTCACAGCAGCCGGAAGGGGGCTGTCTATCTAGCACTGCCCCCCTTTCCTTTGT